ATATGTAAATATCATTATGTTTAACATAGTTAACAAGTGCATATACTTGGTCACAATCTTTCCTGTTTTGTATGGGTTTTTTGTATTGGTACAGAATCTTTTTCTTCAGTCTGCTCATTACTTTTAACATGGTATTTGACAAAATCCTACCCAATTTTAGGGCCAAGTTGGTAAAATTATGATAGAGAAAACTGATTTTTTAAAGTGTATGTTTAATGATCAGTCGCATTACTTTATTTTTGAACCTCATTATATTGGTGATATATTATAGTTCTCCTAAATACTGATATTTTGGCATCCATCAAAGTCAGGCAGTTGAACTCCAATAAATTAACAGAGGCAAAATTCAAAGTGGCATGACACTGATACACATATCACAAAACTCATAAGTAGCCTCAAAAAATAACATACTCACTAATATTGCTTATATAATTACTCGTTTTCCATGATACATTTATATGTATTTTGAGTTTGCTAAGAACAAACATATATTACAAAAGGGTGAATTTTGTTCTGTTTTACAGTGCTAGAAGCATTAAAAGTAAGAGGTGTATCCACATCGACATAACACAAGTTGTATAATTTTTAGTTCATGTTATATCACTCAGTAAATATCTTACATGTTAAAAGGAAAAAAATTCCTACTTCTACAAATATAGGACTTTGTAAATATCTATGTCTTTTAGACAGGAATTGTCTTGGACAATCTTATCTGATAGGAAATGATAGTTTTATAGTAAGTTGAAACTTTAAGAGACATATCAGAACTATGTTTTAATTTTTATTATTAAACTAATAAAAATTATTCTGTAAAACATTGTATTTAATGAGAACCAGTTCAGATATCCAGTTTTCTTATTAATTGTCAAGGATATACCTGTTTCTAAGATAGCCTCACATGAAAAGGTTGAATAATAACTATATCATACCCAACTTTAAGGAACTAGCTTCTTGGGACCAGCAGGGGGTATAGTGGTTATGCACTGGACTTCCACATGACAGACTGTGGTTTGAGTCCCAGTTTGAAACTCACATCAGGCATGTGTGCGTGCATGCCCCAAGTCCCATAAGGACAGTGGAGGAGAAAGGATTGCGACATGGCCAACCCCCAGAGGATGATTTCTCACTTTCTCTCTCTCTGTCTCTGAGTCTCTGGCAAGTGCCAAGCAAAAATCTCTTTAAAAAAGGAAAGAATATAACTAGCTTATTTCTTCTGCCAGAATTATAACAGTGAACACTGATATATAGTCACCATGGAAGTATTTTGGTTGTCTGCTTTAATTTCAATCACACCTTGAAATTTATACCAAAATTATAAGAAGGCTTTTTATATCTTGACTGACCTTTCTATCAATAGAACATAACTGACTCCTAATATAATGGTGTTTTCAAAATGAAGGATGTTGTTATCATCTTAGTTTTTAAACTGTTATGATTTATGGATAACAATTATACCAGCTATTGAATCAGTATTTATTTATATGTGTTTGTACACATAGATTGATAGAAAAGGGTAACTTGTGAGTTTTTAAATATTATGCTAGGGGCTAGGCAGTGGTGTGGTGGTTTAGGCGCCTGGATCCCACATGGTCAATTATGCAGCTCAAGTCTTTGACTGAGGCTTCAAAAAAATACTGCACATGTTTGCATGTGTACCCAAAATCCCAAGAAGAAAATGAAGAAGGGATTGTGGCATGGCCATCCCAAGGGAAGTGATTTCTCATTTAATCTTTCTCTCTCTTACTCTCCTGTAAGTGTACATGCCCTATAGCAAAATAAAAAAACAAAAACAAAACATTATATTCAACAAATAAGATGTTTGTTGGCCCATTTAGGACTAAATAACTTAAATGTAAATATTGATTATAACTGTCTTCACAGGTAATACAGGCAATCACTTATCATTAATACTATTTGTGTGTGTGTTTATAACTTGCTAACAGTTAGTTATAACCAGTTTGAAACTAGGCACATGTCACTGTGATAAGAAGTCTCTGTTTCAAGGAGTCTTTTGGAAATCAAAGCAGAGCTCCAGTGTAAAGCAAAGAGTAGATTCAACGAACTTCAAACAAAATGGTGGGAAATGTCTAATACATACTGCCCTTCTTTCGGTTTGGTATTCAGGGGAGCGCTTGAAGATATTCTTGAGATTATTCATTACAGGCAAATATATTTTTGATCTCAGTCTTGGCAAGACAGACAAACCAAAAAATTAAACTTATTGAGTATTGTAAAATAAGTGCTATGATGAAAGTGACAACTGCACGTTATGGAAACATACAGGAGGAAATGCTAAGAGAATCTAGGGAGGTTTCCCAAGAAGACACCTAAATCTTGATAGATTGATAGAACTTAATAAGGCAAAACAAAGGGGTGTCACAATTTAGGATAGATGAAACAGTTTTGCAAGCTTATAGAGAAAATGCATGGAATTAAAAGAACCACAAGCAGTCAAATAAGGCTTGACTAGAGTTTAAAAAAAAAATAGGTTATTAGCGAAGAATGAGGCTGTATATGTGGGCATAAAAAACAGTCTAAGATTTCTAAGAATTTTAAAACTTACTTGATTAAACATTCCCAAATTTGGCCAGGGGGGTGGAGGGAAGAATTTGAAATTCTGATCTGAAAGTTGGGAAAATTTATATCTGGGAAGGGACATGACTACATGTATATTTTATGAAGATCACACTGGTGCTTTTAGGAAATGAAACATTTTTTGGAACTTTTTGCAAGATGAGGTATAGATGCCAATAATTTAGTAAAACAAAACAAAGAATTATTCATGTTTGCACAGCTTGGTGCTTTGAGATATTTAGTAAAGTCATTAACAGGCGATAGAATGTTATCTTCTTAGCATCGCCCTGAGCTGATCACATATAAGGGTATAAGAACTAATTGATGACTATTGGAAATTGGTGTCTGAACCTCCTTTTCACCTATTTGACTGTTCAGTGTTGATCCTGTTTGTACTAAATCAGATGATACTACTAAGTGATGGCATTTATGCTCTGTGCAGCTATGATATATTGTAGATTGTCTGGCCCTTCCTCCAGTGCTGAGTGTATCATGGACATGTAATACAAAAGAGCAGCAAATGGAACTCAGGAGTAGAAGATTAAGAGAGGAGTTTAGATAGAAGGATATAGGAAGAAAAGTAGAGGAGTATCCTTTCCCTTTCCCAGGGAAGTGATTTCTCATTTTATCTTCTCTCACATCATAGCTTTCCTCTGTCTTCCTGTTGTTTGCATACATAAAAGTGTGTTAATGCTGAAAATGATATGTAAATGACTTTAAAGACTTACATAAGCCAAAAATTTTTAACTATTAACAACTCCATGATATTGTAAACAGTTATCCCTTTTGCCTTAAGGTATTATCTACTAATTTAGACAGTATTATTTCTATTATATAGAAAACTTCCAAGCAGATATTATGACGAATTTAGTAAACATAAGTTGACTTATTATGAAAACCACAAAATTGGGACCAGCAAGTGGCATGGTGGTTAAGGGTACAGGACTCCCACATGGCTGAACACAGTTTGAGTCCCAGACCCGGAAGCTTGCATTCTCTCCTTTTCTTATTCTGTCCCTCTCTGACCAAATTAAAAATTGTAAAAGTTAAATGAAATAATTCTTTAAAAAACACACACACACAAAATTGAGTACCATAATTTATTTCAAACAGCTAAGTAAAAGTCTAATATACTTATTTTAGAGTTTTAGCTAAATAACATATGGTATATTGTCATAGTTTATAGTATCTAAGTTGGCTGCGTGAACCCAGCAAGCTGACCCTTCTGAGCCCAAGCGTATTTACTTTAACACAAATGAGTGGTAAGCCAGCTTTGAAAAACTTTCATTTACTTTATTGTTAATCCAGACTCTCATAATGGGTTTCTGCTATTAGCAACTAGCTTCTCTTACAGCTCTTTGCCACTTGACTCCAAGACAATTATCTTCTGGGAGGAGGGAGAGTAACCTATATAACTGTATGTCTTTGTCAGTTATTGCATATTCTAGACATCTAGTTGATTAAAGGTATATTGGGTTCATATTGAGGAGAAATTGTTTAATATCTTCAACTTAAAATTACTCCATCTTGAGATAAAGTATTGTGGAAAAGCTGCTCTACCTTGTTTTATTTAAAATAATAATGTACTTAATTCAGAATGAAAAAGAGTTGAAAATTAATTTATTTTTAGTTTATACTTTGCCATAAGGAAGAATTAGATTGTTATGATATAAAAGAATTGGAAGAATTCAAAATGCAGTGACACAGAGTTCACGTAACTGAAATTTATTTTCTCAGATTCAGCTAATCTGTACCATTTCTTCTAAAAATGGCTTACCAACGGAAGGTTTAAAGGCTGCTTTTTCATGATAAGGAATTGACCATGGAAGCAATAAATAGTTTTTTCAAGTTATTTCTTTATTGTACCCTATCTTAGTTTTTTACCTACTCAGGCTAATTTAACAGGTACTGGGATGAGTAGACAATCTTAATTTCTACCTCTCAAGTCAAAGAAAGAAAGCTCTTTAGTGTCCCTCCCAGTTAAAAGGTAGCTTGCTATGTTTAAAATTAATGCAGCTCTGACAGCAACAAATATTAGCATTTTAATTTATTAAAAACAATTGGTTTGAAATTTGGGAAATGGGGCCAGCAGGTAATGTGGTAATTAAGGGAGCTGGGCCCTCACATAGTCACCTGCAGTTCAAGTCCCAGACCTGGCTTTCTCACTTTCCCTCTCTCTGGTCAAATAAAATAATAATAGTAAAGAAAGTTAAATAAAATAATTATTTTAAAAAGAAATTTGGGAAATGAATAATTGAATACCTCATTTGAGTGTTTATTTGAACCGTCTCTTATTAGTACAAGAGATCATCTAAATTTTTCTCTATTATATGTTATAGCAAATTAATTTGTTTGCCTCATCATTTTAAGATGTTTCAAGGAAAGCATATATATGGTTACTTGAAAATATATTTTATTCTTTGCAGTGTTTGAGCAATACGCCTCCACTTACAGAGTATTTCCTCAATGATAAATATCAAGAAGAACTGAATTTTGACAATCCTTTAGGAATGAGAGGTGAAATAGCTAAATCTTATGCCGAACTCATCAAGCAAATGTGGTCTGGAAAGTTTAGCTACGTCACCCCAAGAGCCTTTAAGGTTAGTGTCATAAATGCGTTCACAAAGAGGACTTATCACCCTCAAGAAGATGAAAATTGTTTTTTTTTTGGGGGGGGGGGAGGTATAAAATATACCATAGTTTTACAGTACCTAAGTAAAATACAGTATATCTGGGTATACAATTTTAGGGCAGGGAACAATATGGGTGATTGTTTTAAAATGTTTGACAAGGATCTGAGAGTAGAATGGGTGGGAGAAAAGTGTTGGCGAACACTGACATGGTACAAAATAACAGTAGAGAGAGAGCAATGAGCACTTCCATGATTGTTTTAGAATACAGTACATCTCTGGAAAACATGAATATTTTATATGACTATAAAGGTCTGAATTGGGGCTTGTGGTTGAACTCTTAAGAAGTCACTTTATTTTAAGAATCATTTTAAGTTTGAAGACTTATTAAGATGATACTAGTCTACAAAACAAGCACCAAATATTAATGAAATATATTTTCAATTTACTTCTTAAAGTTTTAAGTTTATTTGTATTTGTAAATTGGCTGTTTCTTGGAATCCTAAGTAATTTTGCTTATTATTTAAATAAAAAATGAGCTGATGTTTATATTTTATAAGTTTTCCTAATAATTATACAAGTGAGATGTTCAGGAAGTTTTAAACTTTTAAAGAGAGTAAACAATTTTAAGCTGATATTTATGCAAGCAACATAAATGGCATTTGTATTAGGACATCTACTAGGTAACATTTTGTTTACTATATACTAGTTATTTATATAATAAACAACAAGGGGCTAGCAGGTGTTATGGTGGTTGAGGCACTGGACTCCCACATGGCCAACTGCAATTAGAGTCCCAGACCACATGGCTTGAAAGTTACTCCAGGTGTGTGTGCATATGTGCCCCAAAACTCAAGAGTAGAGTGGAGAAGAAGGGATTATGGTGTGGCCAGAGTGATTTCTTACTTCCCCTCTCTGTTTCTCTCTGGCTCGTACATGCACCATATGAAAATACCTCTGCATTTATCTTCTTTAACAATTGTACAAACTAGTCCAAACCAGCCATCTCCCAACACTTACCCATCCTTCCAATTAGTTTAATTTTGCTGGATTTTCTCTCTTTAAGTTATGTGGAAATAGACTCTTTTATAATCAACCTGTGGCTTGGTGGTTAAGGTAGCTGGATCCCATGTGACTAACTATATGGTTCAAGTCTCAGACCTGGCAACTTGAGAAACACACTGTGTGTGTGTGTGTGTTTGTGTGTATCCTGGTGGGAGAGAATGATGGAGAAGATATGGTATGGCCATTCCCCATGCCAGGGAGAAGGGGTGGTTCCTCACTTTCCCTCCCTCTTTTTCTTTCTCTGGTGACCACACACACCCTCTGACTTTTTCTTTTCACAGTATGATTCATATTATTACATTTTAGTCACATAAAAAAATACTATTATAATACCTCAGAAAATTGTTATGAACATAATTATTCTTGTTATTGCTAAAATAGATTTGAGCTCTTTTACACACCGAAATTAAATGATAGCAGTGTCATTTTTTTCCAGGGCTTGTTCAAAAAATGAAAATGTTATTGCATTTTAAGTCTTCAGTGTTTTCCAATATGTTATACAAAACTCCAGGTTTCAAACCAGCCATCTCCCAACACTTACCCATCCTTCCAATTAGTTTAATTTTGCTGGATTTTCTCTCTTTAAGTTATGTGGAAATAGACTCTTTTATAAGTCAACCTGTGGCTTGGTGGTTAAGGTAGCTGGATCCCATGTGACTAACTATATGGTTCAAGTCTCAGACCTGGCAACTTGAGAAACACACTGTGTGTGTGTGTGTGTTTGTGTGTATCCTGGTGGGAGAGAATGATGGAGAAGATATGGTATGGCCATTCCCCATGCCAGGGAGAAGGGGTGGTTCCTCACTTTCCCTCCCTCTTTTTCTTTCTCTGGTGACCACACACACCCTCTGACTTTTTCTTTTCACAGTATGATTCATATTATTACATTTTAGTCACATAAAAAAATACTATTATAATACCTCAGAAAATTGTTATGAACATAATTATTCTTGTTATTGCTAAAATAGATTTGAGCTCTTTTACACACCGAAATTAAATGATAGCAGTGTCATTTTTTTCCAGGGCTTGTTCAAAAAATGAAAATGTTATTGCATTTTAAGTCTTCAGTGTTTTCCAATATGTTATACAAAACTCCAGGTTTTTTCCCTTGTTCTTTCTTCAGCTACCTTCTCTTATTTTTAATTCTGTAGAATATTTATTTTTTAAATGATTTTAGATATGGATCTATTTTGGTAAGTAGCAAGAACGAGAGCCGGTTTCTTATTACCTACCTACCAGATGTTTACAGAAAAAGGCAATAGAAGAACCTCTGCACAATCCTTTGACAAATAGTGAAAGAGCAATTAATGACAAGGAATCAAGTACCAAACTGATTAATACGTTTACATATTTTTAAATGATTCTATGTCTTTGTTTATTTTGTCCCAGATAAACTCTGTTGAATGCTCACTGAGACTACAAGACAAATGATATTTCTCTTGTGTGTTGATTTTCATTATTCATAGTAGTTACATTCCGCAAGGCACCACAAATTAACAAATACTGAACCATTGCTCCTAGGAAAAATACAGAGTTTGATCCTTCCAACCTCTTGTCATTTTCATCAAGTGATAGATGTATAGTTTTATTTCTGTGTGTTTCTGTTTAGGCACATCATATTTAATATAAATTGCTTAAACATTTAACTCATAACCAGCAACACTATAACTTATTCCTGAATGAAGCTCATCTGACACAGCTTCTCCAGAAGACTCATCTCAGCCTCCTCATGTTTAGGAAAGAATACTAGTCAGCAGTTCAGCACTATACTTGTGGTCCATTATAAACAAAAAAATTACCAGCAAAAATTAAAAAGTAAAAAGCACTGAATAAACACGAAAGGATACTTGTTTACAGTATGAGGACTAAAACAGAAGGCAGAGCATTGCCCTGTTTGACTACAGCTGGGAATGTGCACATCAGGTGACTGAAATTTTTTACTACTCAGACCTTTCCCACCAGTGACCACAAAAGTGTCACAAGTTGATTTGGAGGTTACAAATTTTAGGAAGAATACAGATTTATGAAGTGGTCTCTGTGAATAATATGGAGATGTGTGTGTGTGTGTGTCCCCAGAACTGATTTTATAGTTTTGCTTCTTTTACAGACACAGGTAGGCCGTTTTGCACCTCAGTTCTCTGGCTATCAGCAGCAGGACTGTCAAGAACTATTAGCTTTCCTATTAGATGGATTACATGAGGATTTGAACAGAATTAGGAAAAAACCATATATACAACTAAAAGATGCTGATGGAAGGCCAGACAAGGTAAACTTCATGACATTATTATTATCACCGTATTAGAATTCTGTGATACCTCTTTGTAATATCTATTTGTTTTCCTTGTAGATAGTTGCTGAAGAAGCTTGGGAAAACCATTTAAAAAGAAATGATTCTATCATAGTAGATATATTTCATGGCCTTTTCAAATCAACTTTAGTTTGTCCCGAGTGTGCTAAGATTTCAGTAACATTTGATCCTTTTTGTTACTTGACACTTCCATTGCCCATGAAAAAGGAACGTACCTTGGAAGTTTATTTAGTTAGAATGGATCCACTTACCAAACCTATGCAGGTAAGTAATGATGACTTTGTTTGCGTTTGTTATTTTTATAAAATGTTAGTGCTTAATCCTTATTTTAAAAAAATATTGAATGCTATAGAACAATTTGATGATAATGTTTATTGTGTAAGAGATTTTTTTTCAAGCTATTTTTAAAATTAGTATAAATTGGGACCAGCAGGTGGGATAATGGTTACGTCACTGGACTTCCACATAGTCGACCGTGGTTCAAGTCCAGACCTGGTGGCTTAAAACTCACGCTGGGCGCATGTCTGTCTGTGTCCAAAATCCCAAGAGAATGGAGGAGAAGGGCTTGCGGTGTGGCTTTCCCCCTCTCTGGGAGTGATTTCTAGCTTTCCATCTCTCTCTCTCTGGAGAGTGCACGTGCCCTATGACAAAAATCTCCCTTAGAAAAAAACTAGCACCACCTGTTGGCATAATGGTTATGTCACTGAACTTCCACGTAGTCAACCGTGGTTCAAGTCCCAGACCTGGTAGCTTAAAATTTAGACTGGACACATATGCCTACATGTACAAAGTCCCAAGAGGAGAAAAGACTGTGGCATGGCTATCCCCCCGAGGGGTGATTTCTCATTTTCTTTCTGTCTCTCTGGTAAGTGCATGTACCCTATAACAAAAAATCTCTATTAAAAAGAAAAAAAATAATATAAATGTTTAGATTCCTAAGAAGGTAAAGAATGTACACAAAGCATCATATGTCAAATAAACATAAAATTCTCAAAAGCTTTTTCTCATTAAAGAAAAATGAGATATTTGGTTTTATGTTTGAATGAATATTACCTAACAAAGATTAATAACATGGTATTGTTTTCCATAGTTGCTTTCCATAGAAATGGAAGTGTAGACTAAAAAATATTTAAACTAGCAAGACCAAGATACCTGGTTCAATAATGTTCTAGTATTTAATATTTTGAGATACCACATATTACTTATGCTATACAAAAACCTTTAGTATCAGTCATCTGCCTGATTCCATTGTCTATTGTTACAGTTGGATTACTTGACACTATATAGGCAAACCACCATATTTTCTCCCTGCTTCATTAATCAATGAACTCTTTTCTGACACTTGTCCCATCCAGTGAACATAACTCAAAATTCTTTTTTTTTTTTTGCTATAGGGTGTGTGCGCTTTGCCAAAAAGACAGAGATAAATAGAAAGCAAGAAATCGCCCCTCAGGGGAGATGGCCATGCTGCAATCCCTTCTCCATTCTCCTCTCGGGATCTTGGGCACACATGCACACGTGCCTGGTGTGAGTTTAAGTTACTGGGTCAGGACTCAACCTGCGGTCGACTACATGGGAGTTCAGCGACATAGCCATTACGCTAGCTGCTGGTCCCTCAAAATTCTTTTTATCACCTTTGATTCATTTTCATCATTTTCCCCTTAGACCATGAGGGTTTTCTTTAAGAATTATTTATTTAATTTTATTTATTTTTAATTTTGCTATAGGACATGTGTGCCCACCAGAGAGAGAGAGAGAAAGAAGGAAACTGAGAAAGCAAACTGCTAGCTCTGAGACTCAAACCATGGTTTGGCGATATGGGAGTCCAGTGCCTTAACTACCATGCCACCTAGTGGCATCCTGACCATGAATTCTTTGATGATAGAGACCTTGTAAATGTTACTTTCAGCCCTAAAAGTATTTAAAATTTTTATTTACTCATATTTGTCGGATACCTACTAAGTATAAAACTATTCATGAAACAAGGCAGATATGGTTCCTGCTCTAGAAGATAGTTTTCTGTAAATTCTTAATTTTGGTTTTCAGCAAAATGGCTAAGTTTATTAGTGCGTAATAGTCATTAAATCTATATGAAAGTTATGCTTTAAATAAAATTATCTGACCATTCAGGGAAGTATGTGTTTACTCAAGGGCAAGGGTATATTTGTGTTCATAAAAATGGTTTTTCCATTCAAAGTAATTGGAGTCTAGTAGGGACTAGATATTTCAGCCATTTATTCTGCTGTTGCTTTATGTTTCCTTCATGAAGTCTTCAAACCTGGTATCCTCATGTCAGTGTTTCATTATGTAATCATGAGTACTTACCCTTATCTATGAACCAGGTCAATAAAAACCTTTTACTTTTGGCCTGAGAATATTTGTTTTAATGTCTAGAGTTATATCCTCTAGAATCATTAAGTACAAGATTGTCAGTATTCTTTTCAATGGAAAGAAAGTGCAGGAGTCCCAAATGATACTCTTACCTCTTGAGATGTAACTTTGTAGATACATGCTAATGAATATAAAAGAACAAGAGAGCAAAGAGTAAAAATGTATTGCAACCAAAAATAAACATTGTTGCTATATTTCTCTAAGTACATTTGATAGACATTGTTCTCCCAGACAGTAATATAGTCTATAATTATATGTAGCAGACTAATTCAATGTACATTAGCCCCGAAGGTGTGTACTCAGAGTTCTTCTGTAATTTGGGCTTTAAATTATCTTCACAGCTATGTGAATTACTTTGATTGACTTCTTACCTCAGTTCAAAATGATAGCCTCATTAACACTGTGCTTTAACCAGGGGATAAGGGAAATAAATTAGCCTATTTGATGAGTTTACCCATCATTAAAGTTGATTTAGGTTACAGAAGTTTCTTAGCAATCATATTGAACATATTATGTGCAAGATGCTGGAAACACAAAGATGTTTTTAGTTTTTGTTGTCAGGAAACTTGTCACACTATATGAGGAGTACCCTGAGAAGGTGCTACAAGAACACACGGACTAACTCCTCAATCTAGCAATGATGCTGTAGTAAGACCTGAAGGATGATTAGGTTATAAGCAGGTGATGATTAGAAATAAAAGCATCGTAGGCCAAGAGAATATCATGTGCAAAAGGCTGAAGGCAAAAGAGGCCTGGAATTTATAAATGACTAGTAAGGTTAGTGGGAGCCAGATTACAGAGAACTTTGGTATAATGATAGGAAGTTTGGACTTCATTCTCAAGACTAGGGGAGTCATTACAGGTTATTAAGCATAGAGATTGTATTACCAGATTTGTATTTGATAAAGAAAGTCCTGGCTAGAACAGGGGTTATATAATAAAGACTTAAATCAGAAGTACTAAGACAAGGTTAGAGGCTTTCTGATGTTCAAATGGCACATGACAAGAATGTGAATTCTTATGATTAGTGTCAGAAGCCTGCAGGTGGCATGGTGGTTAAGGTGTTGGAGTCCCACAGGGGTGACCATGGTTCAAGTCCTGGACATGGTGGCTTGCTTTTCACTCCCCACCTCCCCATTTCTCTCTGATTACAAATAATGATAATGATGATAAATAAAATTGAATAAATAACTTTCTTTTAAAAGGTTAGTGTCAGGGTAGCAATTTGATAGATAGAACTAGTTTAAAGTGAAATGTATTTCCCTATTAAAGATTATATCAATTTTATTGAACAAGGAAACTGAGGAAATGGTAGTGCTCTTTCTTTTAAAGGGATATATAGAAAGAACATGTTTAAGAATAAACCTGTTTTGGGGAACCAGCAGTTAGCGTAATGGCTATGTCGCTGGACTCCCACGTAGTCGACCGAGATTCGTGTCCCGGACGCGGTGGCTTAAAACTCACGCCGGGCACGTGTGCGTGCGTGCCCAAGATACCGAGGGGAGAATGGAGGAGAAGGGATTGTGGCGTGACCATCCCCCCCTGGGGGTGATTTCTCGCTTTCTATCTCTGTCTCTCTTTGTCTGTCTGGCGAGCACACGCACCCTATAGCAAAAAAACTCTCAAAAAAAAAAAAAAAAAGAATAAACCTGTTTTAGTATTGGGCATGATAACCTAAAATGACCTAAACCCATGTTTAGTGTTGGACATGTTGACTTTGAGATGCACAAAGAGCATCTAGGTAGGTGGAGGTATCCAGTAAGCATTGAGTTTATGTACTTAGAGTGAGAACTTGAGATGGAAATTGGATAGTGAGATAGGAAAGGATGGTAGTCAGTGTTTTAGAAGGATGGGATTTAAGACTAAGGGGGACTGTTTTAGTCCAGTATTGTATTACTAACTGAAATACTTGAGATGGGGAAGGATTGTAAAGAAGAGATTTATTTGACTTATGATTCCAGTGCTTAGAAAATCCAAAGGTGTGAAGTTAGCATCAGGCTGGCTACATGATAGCATATTCAGTAGAAGAATAGAGGATGGTGAAAACCGTGCAGGGATAGACCTTTTATAAAAACCCACTCTCTTGAGAACTGACCTTTGGACAGCCATAACTCACTGGTACTTAGGCTACATCATTAGTCCATTCATAAGAGTAGTGCCTCTGGGCATCACCAGTTCACAGTCTCATCACTTTCAATGCCGTTAAAATGGAGAGCAAATTCAAATGAACCTTTGGAGGACAAACAAATATCCAAACTGTTGTGTCCACACCTGATCCCCAAATTCATGTCTTTCTCTCATATGAAATAACAACTAGATTGGAACCAGCAGATGGCATCATGGTTACGTCATTGGACTCCCATGTAGTGGACTACAATTTGAATCCTGGACCCGCCAGCTTAAAATTCATGCCAATTTGTGTGTGCATGTATGGCCCAAATCCTGAGAGGAGTCTGGAGGAGAAGGAATTGCAGCCTGGCCAACCCCTGGGGGGTGATTTCTCACTTTCTGTCTCTCTGTCTCTCTCTTTCTCTCTAGTGAGCGCACATGCCCTATAGCAAAAAAAAAAAAAAAAAAATCTCTAAAGAAATACAACTGGATGATTTGTGAAAAGTAGAGGTTTATTCAGTTCACCGTTTAAAAGTCCAAGGTCCAGTGGTCAACTATGGGGGGATCTTCTGGCTGCATTGCAACACGGCAGAGGACAGTAGAGTACAATCTGTAGTGTGTGTGTCTCTCATTCTTCCTTCTTATAAACTTACAGGCGTCAATCAAGGGCCCCTGCCCTAACCTCCTACTTACTAATTTCCCAAAAGCCCCACACAATAGTTGGTTAGAGGTTTTTATGGTTTTTCACCCTGTTTTTCCTGTTAAAACCAAGCATAAAATTTGGGAAATACCTAAACTATTAATAGTGACCTTATGATTTATCCTCTAAATCAGAACTCTTGAAAATAACAGGGACAGGGACCAGCAGTTAGCATAATGGCTATGTCACTGGACTCCCATGTAGTCTACCACAGATCGCGTCTCGGAACTGGTGGCTTAAAACTCACGCCGGGCACATGTGCAGGCGTGCCCAAGATCCCAAGAGGAGAATGGAGGAGAAGGGATTGCGGCGTGGCCATCCCCCCAGGGGGTGATTTCTCGCTTTCTGTCTCTCTGTCTCTCTGTCTCTGTCTGGTGAGCTCACGCGCCCTATAGCAAAAACTTCTCAAAAAAAAAAAAAAAGAAAGAAAGAAAGAAAATAACAGGGACAGTTACTAATAATTATGCTAGAAAAATAGGCTAGTACAGGACCAGCCAAAGCAAATCTGAATATATTGTCACCTAGTTTAAGGCAAGCATAGGAATCAAGAAGGCAGTTAAGGATAAAGCTCTAATGAAGCTACAGAAAAACCTCCCAAAGAGGTGTGGGCACAGTAGGAGAAAAGAATTATGAAGTAGTAGTATGGTAGAGAAAGGAAATTTTCAAAGGAGAGAGTGGTCAGCAATCATGTTCTGGAGAGGTCAATAAAATAAGGGCTACTAGAGACCAGCAGATGGTATAATGGCTATGTCGCTGGACTCCCATGTGGTCGACTGCAGTTCAAGTCCCAGACGTGGTGGCCTAAACTCAAGCCGGGCGCATGTGCGTGCGTGCCCAAGATCCCAAGAGGAGAATGGAGGAGAAGGGATTGCGGTGTGGCCATCCCCCCTGGGGGGGTGATTTCTTGCATTCTGTCTCTTTCTGGTAAGCGCACACACCCTATAGCAAAACCTCTCAAAAAATAAATAAATAAAAATAAAATTAAAAAGTTAAGGGCTAATAAAGATTAAGTTGTATTAACAATATTGATAACCTTCGGAGCAGGTTAAAGCAGTGATGAAAAGCACCAAGAAGTGGGTTGAGAACTTAATACAAAGTAAGGAAGTTATGATAGTCAGTGTAGGTACTTTTTAACAAAGGTACTTATAAAGCAGAGGAGAAGGAGTTAAAGAGAGGACAATTATTAGAGGGAAAGCAATGAAGAATTATTCTGGTTTGTTTTTGTTTTTATTTTTTTTAGAAAGTTGTATATATTCCACTGCTTAAGCAAAAGAGTCAATATAAAAAGGAAGAAAGGATCATTGCTGACTTAGGTCACAGAGAAAGCAGGAGAGGATGAGATTCGGAGCATAGATGGTAGGGTTAGTTTCAAATAAGAAGAGAGACATCTGTCTTTCTATATATTGTAGAAACACAAAAGGACAAGTACAGATTTAAATAAGTTTGTAGGAGGACTGGAAGTTGGAGATTTTCCCACCTAGTAGCTTCTGTTTACTTGGTGAAATAGTTTTGCTGAGAGGCCAGCAGGTGGCATGGTGGTTGAAGTGCTGGACTCCCACATGGTCAACCGCAGTTGAAAACCCAGACCTGGCTGCTTGGTTCCTCACTTTCCCTCTCTCTCTGTCTCTCTTTGGTCAAATTAAAAAATAGTTATAACAAATAAAATTAAATAATTATTTTTTAAAAAATACTTACAGTAGTTGAAAGAAAAGTAGTAAAATATGAAGCCTAAAAAATGGTGAAGACTTTAAATGGTTATTGAGAGAAAATGAAGAACAAGCAAATAAGGGATCCGAAGAATTATTTCTGGTAGTGTTGAAGGATCAGTTGCATTTCAGTACTGAGTTTGTAGCACACCAGTTTCTAAGGTGGGAAATTTTCTCTAGCATATGGGTACACCTGTGAGAAATTCAGCAAGGGTAGAACTGAGTAACAGAGATAAAGGTTTTTGCAATGCATTTGAAGTAATGAAGTATGTGGGGTCTGGATATAAAAGCATTAAAACAGTGAGTGGCAAACTGGGAGAATACTGAGATTTTGGTTTTTGTTCATGCATTCAATTGTTATATATCATTTAGATTGTAAAGATACTTTATCCAGCATAATATACACCTCAGTCCAGCCCAGTTGAGAATATTATACATATCCTCATCAACAGATAATAAACCATATCTATGTCCCACCAGTATTTTATCTCTATTTTTTCCCTAAACTTCCTTTCCTATGCTCTTCCCCTCCCACTCTCTCCTACTTTGTCTCCAGTGTCCATAACAATTTCTAATGCTTTTATGTCCTCCAGTCTTTCAGTCTCTACCATAGAGTATGGACATTCGGTATGTTAAGTAGAGACATACAATGTCTCTCTTTCATAGCCTGACTTGCTTCACTCAGCAACAGATCTTCCATATTCATCCACTTTCTATGAAATTACAGGGTCTTTTTTTGTTTATATGGCTGAATAGTATTCCATAGAATATGTATGCCACACTTTTTCCATCTATTCATCTATTTGTGGACATTTGGGTTGTTTCCATGTCTTAGCAATCATGAATAATGATGCAATGAATATAGTTGTGCAAATGCTTTTACAACTGAGCATTCTCCTCTCCTTTGGATAGATCCCCAGGAGTGGAATTGCTGGATCTTATGGTAGTTCTATTTGAAGATCTTTGAGGAGCCTCATATTGTTCTCCAAGTGGCTGGACCAATTTACATTCCCACCAACAGTGTGGGAGTGTTCCCCTGTCACCACATCCCCTCTAGCTCTTATCTTTTTTTTTTTTTTTTTACTCTTTGCCATTCTTACTGGGATTAGATAGTATCTCATCATGGTTTTGATCTGCATCTCCCTTAGGATGAGGGACGTTGAGCATTTTTTCATATGTCTTCCTTATTCAGCTCATTTTCGCATCTTTTAATTGAGTTAATCATTAACTTCCAGTAAGCTGCTTGAGTTCCCTGTGTATTCTGGGTTATCAGTCCCTCCTGAGGCACAGTTAACAAAAATTCTCTCCTATTCTGAGGATTGTCAATTCACACTAATTACAGTGTCCTTTGCAGCGCAAAAACTTCTTAATCTGATGTAATCTCACCTGACTATTTTGGGAATTATTGCCTTTTGGGGTCTTGCTTAAGAAGTCTTTGCCTACTCCAATGTCTCCCAAAGATTCCTCAGATTTCCACCAATAGTTTTATAGTTTGTGGTCTTAGGTTTAGATCTTTGATCCACTTTGAGTTGATTTTTGTTAATGGTGGCAGATAGGGGTTCAGATTCATCTTTCCACAGGTGGATACCAGTTGTTTCAGCACCATTTGCCAAAGAGGTTTTCCTTTTCCAACCGGATTGACTGGTACCCTTTGTCAAACATGAGTTGGCTGTATGTTTTGGGGTTTACTTCTGGGGTCTCTATTCATTATTCCTCTTGTCTGTTGTGCCAATACTGTGCTGTTTTGATTATCACAGCTTTGTGATATATTTTGGGGTCAGGAAGTGAGATGCCACCCACTCTACTCTTCTTGCAAAGGATGGCTTTAGCAATATGGGGTCTTTTAAGGTTCCAGACAGATTCTATGATTGTCTTTCCTAGATCTGTTAAAAATGTCTCTTGGGGGACCAGCAGTTAGTGTAAGGGCTATGTCGCTGGACTCCTACGTAGTCGACCACAGTTCGCGTCCCGGACCCGGTGGCTTAAATTCACGCCGGGCACGTGTGCGTGCGTACCCGAGATCCCAAGAGGAGAATGGAGAAGGGATTGCGGCGTGGCCATCCCCCCTAGGGGGTGATTTCTC